AATTATTAAATTAAGTTTCAAACTATTTTCGAATTGATTCAATTCATTATCACCCCTACTTACAAATCAAGTTAAGTAATCAGTAACAACACGTTATATTAGTCACTTTATATTTATATATATATATATATATATATATATATAAGATTTTATATGTAATATTTCAATCTCTATAAATATATTGACTGAAATAATTTTATAATTTATTAGCAAGGATATAATTTTTTTTATAAAATTATACTTGTTATTTAAAATATTTTTATATGTATAATAAAAATAATTTAAATCATCAATTAACCTAATAAAACATTAAATCTTTGAAAACTGATACCCTTTAATTTTGGTGAATTAAATTAATTAATTGTCAATAAGTAAACCAACATATATCAACAAAATATATATCCTCCAAAACACACACACATTTATATTTCATAAACATAGTTTATACAGTATCTTAAAATTTATAATTAAAGATTAAACATGACTTAAATAATCATATATATTTATATATATATATATATAATAGGAAATATAATAAATTAAATTTATTTTATAAGTCAAAATTAGTTCATACGAGAAACTAAATTAAGGAGCTTTCACATATTAATTTATATAAACTTTAGTTTATGAGCCTTTTTTCTCTCTCTCTCTTATAAATGCTTATTGAAATTTTTAAAATAAAATTTAGCATATATGACTTAGAATAATGCACACTATTATAACTTTCATTATAAAAATGTTAAATATAGTAATATATAAAAAGTATTATAGATATAATATATGTAAATATAAATCTATTTGACAAATATTTATATAATTATAGTGTTGATTTTGAATGAAATTCAACAATATAATTTATATGTTATTATAATTTATACTTACACATTTTTTTTATAATAATTATAAGAATATAATTAAAGTAAAAATAATTTTTAATGATAAATATTATGTCACTATAAAATATGTATATATATCATTATAAAAAAAATTAGTGATCAAAGATTATTCAAGCACCAAGAATAAATAAAATTTCCACAAATCACGTGTTCAAGTTTTGCTTATGAATTTAGAATAGGATAAATTTAAGCTTTTTTTTAAGAGCATATTGAATTTAATGCTCTTATCAATATAAAAGAAAATATGGAATAACAATATAAAAAAATTGCTATATAAATTTTTATCCAGTTATTATAATATCCTTTCTTTCTTTTTACTTTTTCTTGAACCAAAAAAGTGTAAATCGTTCCGTTTTTATTGCATTTTCTTTTATTTATTTTGATTTTGTTTCTCACCATTTTAATTGTCAAATGAAGTGTATAATTTTTTTCGGGCCTTACATTAGAATACAATCTCTTGACTCGGTTAATTGATTGACACGGGATTCAATCCTTTTAAATGAGGCAAATTTAAGTTTTGTGAATGAAAAATTATAATTTTATTAAAAATAAAAGTTAATTTTTTTAATAGAGATTAGTCATTAATAAAATTAATATATATTATTTTTGTACTGATATATAGTTATAAAAAAATAAGTTAAACATATAATTTAATTCTCACACTTAAAGATTTTCAATTTGATCACAAATAAAAATTTATAAAATCAATCTTTATACTTGTTAAATATTATTGACATGATCTCTGTTAATTTTATTATACATTATTAATTTAATTTTTATACATATATAAAATATATTTTTAACGTGATTTCTACATATTAGTATTTTTTTTATTTGAGTCCTACATATAAAATTGAATTAAGATGTATTGATCGTGTAAAGATCAAATTAAAAACGCATTAGATATGTAAGAATCAAATTAAGGATATGTAAAAGAGTTAACAATTTTAAAAATCAAATCAATAATATTTATATGTATAGGAATTAATTTAATAATATTTTATGTAAAAATTAAATCGATAATATTCTACATGTAAATGAACTAAATTATATGTTTTAAAAAATAATAATAATCCTTCTATCTTAAAATTTTCTTTAAGAAGAATATGATATGATATGAAGAAGAATGATGCATGCTGCAGGGGACATTTTTCCACGTGTTGCTGCATCGTCCGTTTATTTCTGTGCCCACAAGCAAGGTCATGTGGGTGACCTCATTGGGATCCATATTCAGAGGGCTGAGCTTAATAAATTTTAGGTATATATTCCCTTTTCAAAACCATGCGTCAATAATAATGGCACATTTCAAATGGTCATTATTAGGGATAAAAAGAAAAGTGGTCATTGTCTTGGATAAAAAAAACAAGGATAATATATATTAATTAATTTTAATTTTTGTACTTACTTTATACTACAGTTTATTTAATATTTTTTATGCTATCACTCCATCTCCTATCAACTTTTAACTCATGAAATTAAAAAATTGCTCAAAAAGTTTAACTATTTCTTTTGTCGATATTAAAATATTCAGAGAAATATCAATAAAACATTCTTTTGAATACACTTAATAAATTTAAATTATTTATTCAGCATAAAAAATTAACATTCATTTTTATCATAGTAGTAGTAGTAATGGAATGAATGATATTGTAAAAAAGGATTGTTGACACATTGAGTGCATGTACTTGTTACTATTTACTCGTAAAGGATCCAGTCCCACCCACCAAAAAACTCCCTAGCTACTCCCACCCTCTCTCATAAACGAACATACGATGTTAAATGTTCTTGGTCCTGACAAGAACAAGAGTAATGTAGGTGCAGGTGACATGAGAAAATCATAAAAGCTACCTAGCCCCACCCCCCAAAACCCCGTTCTTGTTCCTGTTCAAATATCAATGAACTATATAGTAGACAAACAACATTAATTGAGACGTCGATGCTGTTCTATGTGGCGACAAAACAGAGATGAATTTCAGAAGCTTAGTGGGATACTCTTTCTCCTCATCAACCTCGTGATTTTACTCCTTTCGCACTTCACTGTGTTCAGACCTTCCTGATCCATATCTTCTTCAATTGAACATAACAAACAATGCCTATGTGTGTCTATGTGCAAATATGTATACGTTTACGCCAGATGAATATAGTAGAGGCCAGAAATTATGAAAAAGAAATAAAAGGGGTCTTTATTTTTTTTATTTTTTTTTTCCTTTTGACTTTTTAGAAATCGAAATGGTTAAAGTGGCCATCGTACGTGATAAAGAAAGAAACAAAAGAAAGTGAGATGAGAAATAAAGTGCCCTATACGAAATTACGTGGTTCTACAAAAGGCCAGAAAGCGAAAGTTCCCCTTGAACGCAAAAGTGTGAATATAATTTCTTCGTGGGGAGAAGGGAAAAAAATTAATGCAGCAAAAGAAACAGACAAAAAAGTAATGCAAAGAAATGTTTTCAGTACATTATCATGAGTAGATGAATCATGATTTTAGTGGATATGGGTCCAAAGTTCCAAATTAAAACTCAGAAATGTGATTTTGTTTGGAAGTGACTAGTGGGTCTATGTTATAATAACAAATATAACATTAAATTATATTTGGGTTATGATAATACAAATGAATATTATAGAATGTAAGGAACGGTTGGCTTGTAGTCGTTTTCACGCTTAGGTGGGGGTTACCCTAATAAAATATGAGCAGCAGTCACAAGGATCGGTTTTCCTTTCATTCAAGGTTGCACTGCAGCCTATATCTTGACTTCATTTTCTCAGGATAATTTCTACGCAAGAGAAATCAGTGTAGAATTTTTTTATACGGTCAACTAAAGTATAATTTTCACAATAATTCTTCTAAATTAATAATTTATGATTAGTCATTAATGATAGTGTAAAAGAATTACTCTAAATATTGTAAAAAATATAAAAGCAAAAGGAACATTATAATTTTTTGTGTTGTTATCACATAAAGAAATCTCAATATATTCGGAGAGAGAGAGAGAGAGCTTATGAATAGAGTAGAAAGTCGAATAAACTAGCTCAGCAAAAAGGATAGAAAATAAGCCAAAGTCGTAAGACTTGGGAACAAAATCTTAGATGAAGTTGCAAAGGAGTTGCACCTGAAACAGAAGTGCAAGAAAAGCTGTAAATGATAGGCGCACGTGTGCATCATTGGAGATAGATTGAGGCCAACAGATGAGATACAATCCCGGGGACCAGGTGAACAGTGTTGCTGGGAACTAGTCTTTTATATATAAAGAAGGATTAGACCTTATTTGACTCCATATGTGTTCTTGTTGCCCTTGTTACAAGCACCCCATCCAAAACATGAGACAAGGTTGAAAGATTAAAAAGCAACGAAAATTTTAATTTATTTAATTCATCTACCAAACACTAAAATGATTGTAAATATAATGGAAGGGTCAATTCAAATCCTTGTTTTGCTTCCACAGATTGCACTGTTTTGCAGGATGACAAACGGCAAAAAGAGAGGATATAATGATATAGTTGCGATGAATCATGATTCTTCCTTTCCCATGTTTCCAACTTTCACCAAATTGTTTTCCAACCACACCTCACTCATTGGAGCTTCGCCAGGTCAAGACAAAAGCGAATTGTCATAATGAAAGCAATGAACCATGTGTTCTCTCGCTAGCACAGTTCCTTAATGGCATCATAGAAATGTGAGAATATAATGTTAAAAATAAAGAGGGATTCTCTCCCTGGATCACCCTCCCACAGTAAACCCCATAGAGAACATAGATATACAAACGAGCAACGAATTAACATGAAAATGAAAGGCCTTGGAGACTTGTTTTCTGCCAATAAGTTAATGAGTTAATAAGCAAAATAATAAGGGGTTCCAGGGAGCTCTTTTCATGAAACACCCGAAAATAAAACAAAAGAGAAACCTAGTAAGGAAACAACAGCACCACTTCAAGCATGAGAGAGTGACCACACGTTAACTGAATTAACACTAGTTACACTAGAATTAATCTACATATTTGTTGATAGGGGGTTCAATTTTATATTAATCTCAGAAAAATCGGCATAAATATATAACCATATGTATATATATAAGCCGAAAGGACAATTAATTTCCATAAAAATAAAGTATAAAGAAGGAAAAAAAATGATAAAAATTATTATACTATACGGTAGTAGTGGTAGTAACATTCGGTGTAGCTGCAGAAGTTAAACTAACGCCAGCCCCGTTAGCGTTACCAGCGCTGCTGCCAGCACCGCTTGTAATAGTATTATTATTAGGACTACTACTGCTTACGGCGGAGACAACGGTGGTGGTGGTAGTAATAGCAGTAGTTCTCTTGCGCTTCTTCTTCTCGTAGGGTATTCCTCGAGCCTTGGCTTGGGCTTCCCGAACCTCTCTGAGGTAAATTCGGACAGCCCGAGTCGCAAAAGGATTAGACTCAGGGCGGCCTCCATTTTCTTCGAAGGCCGCCCTGAGTCGTCCAATTAAGGCATCAAGGCTGCCCCACGCCTGTCTGAGAGGACAGGCACATGGGGAAGGAGGGTTAGGATGTCCGAAATACGGACACCCTACCACATGCACCTTGGTTTTCCCGAACTGGTCGAGGTACTTCAAGAACTCGATGACGTGCGCGCCACTGCAGCGTGCCAACGTCAATGGCGGCTTGTGGTTGCGCAGGTACTGCAAGAAGGTGTTCCAGTCGCGGCGCTTCTGCGACTCGTAGCGGCTGGGCGGCGGCGGTGATGATCCCTCCGGCTGAGGAGGCGGCGCCGATGCAGCGTCCATGAGGATGAGTAGCAAGTAACGAGGAGAGGTGTTGGATTGGTGAAATGGTGTGGATGATCTTCTGGTGAGGAAGAGAAGAGAGGGTTTTGTTTATTTGTTTGGGGTTAAGAAAGAGAAGGGGATGATGGGACGTAAAAAAGCCTAGTTGAATGAATTGAATAAATGAGAGAGAAGAGTGATGCTGGTGCCTAGTGCCTAGTGCCTAGTGCCTGGTGGGGGCGAGTGAGCGTTTTGCACACTGTTCACTATTTCACATGGTGGCCCCTCTTGACGTGACAACTTTACTATTCATCTAAATTTACCTTGTAAATCAAATAAATAATCATATCTTATGTTTAAATTAATAAATATGATATGATGATGTATAAATAATAATATAATATTATATGAGTTTTGAATGAGAAAGGAATAATGCTTGATGCTTAATGATAACTGTTGCGTAATAATAATAAGAGAAATGTGGAACGTGTAGTTGGGGTGGGGTGAAGTGCGCGTGGGTTTTGTGGATAGAAGATGCGACGAGCAATAAATGGAGTCTTGAGATAGTCAAATATTTCGTGGGTGTGATGCTAAATGGTAAATGGTAAATGGTAAATGGTAAATGGTAAATGGTAAATGGTAACCCCCTAGTTTTATCAATTCAGTATGGTATGGTATGGTAAGTGCGTCTTCATTTTTCATTTATAATTTATAATTAATAAAGTGTACTATATAATTATAATGTATATATTATTAGTTGTTGTTTAGGCCCGTGACTTCTCCCTCGTGGAAAATAAATAAATAAAAACAAAGGCGCTCTCTCTCTCACTCCTTTTGTTTCAAAATTAAATTATCAGCGTAGTCTCGTACTGTAGTCGTAACGCCACACAGGGAGAGTTAAATGGTTTTTTAAATGCCGTGTGGAATATTCAGTTGTTGTCTGCGCTTCGTCTTTCTCTTCCATCATGCCCTTTCGTCATAGTTTATTTCTTTTCCCATTATTTTTTCATTTAACATTCATTCATTCTTCTATTTAAATAATTTAAAGCAGCAAACAGAAGTAAACTAAACCACAAATCAAGAGAGAGAGGATTTCTTTTCCAATTGTTCAACCCTATCCTGAAAATAGTGGTTATATTTTTTTTCCCATTGTTTTACAAAGTTAACTTAAGAGTATATCATTAGATCGATACAGTCGTTTGTTCCCATTGTTGTATATAAACATTGATAGTGAGACAAAGCAACAAGCTACAAGAAATATATAAGGGCAGTTATTGGATGAAATAAAATGATAAGAATCACTAACTCATTCAACATTAATATACAATCAGTGTCTAAGGAATAAAAAATGATTTTATATATTTAAGATATGAAATTATATATATATATATCTTATGATGTGTTTAAAAAAGTTATAAAAATTAAACTATTTCTATTTTAGTATAAAAGATTGTCTCCATTAAAACTCTAACTGTAATTCAAAACTTAGAACATTCTACAGAATGTAATCTGCTTAATTTATTTTAAGCATATATAAGAGGAGGGTTATGTAGTTACATTTGGGAGTGTTAATATCTCAAATTCTTTCGAGATATTTTTCAAAAACAAAAGAACCCAATATTAATACCTTCGACCCAAGTTACCATATATATAATTATGATGCTAAACCCTAAACTATTAAGCATCCGGCCTCAGTCTTGATTAGGAATGGCAATGAGCCTCATGGACGGGTAATAGTAAGCTCGCTCTCGACCTGTTAGATAAAAATTGGCCTCATACTTACCTCATATTTATGTGAATATCCATTAAGCGAGTATTCATGAATTTTTTGAATACCTACGAATATTCATTGATATCCATGGATATTTATAAATTTTTTAAGAAATTTAAAAAATTATATTACAAATAATTTTAAGTTTATATTTAATGTCATTTAAATATTAAAAATAAAAATTCAATATTAATTTTGAATTTGTATTTAACGTTAATTTTGTTGAAATAATAATAAAAATGCAAGATAATCAATAACTTAAAATATATCAATCTCACAAGTAAGTTAAAGTCTCATCACAAAGCTACAATAATTCAATCTCTCATAATTTCAAACGCAAGTAAATAACTTAAAATACATAAATTTTATTGGTCCAATCAAAACTAGAAATTAATCAAATTACATCCAACATAATTCTATAACATGTTTAATGCATGTTGGTAACTTCATCAACCTCTCTTTTGTAAGAAAAAAAGATGAGAGAGTATAGTTTTAAGGTTATGTTGTACAAGGATAATTATGATATTTAAGAAATATTATTAAACGAGTACCCGCAGGTATAGATATTATCATACCTGCCCCTATCCCGTTTAAACGGATAAAAAATTATTCGTTCCCATTATTCGCAGGTACCCAATTAACCTATCTATTTATTATCCGTAACAGATTTTACTCACATATACCCACGAGTATGGGTATTTTTGTCATCCCTAATCTTGACAAAATCGATAAATAACTAACAATGGTTTGTATATGTGTTTACAGTGGAATTAAGTTTTATGGGCTCTTTTTATTTAGACTAGCACGAAAAACGTTTCAATTTAGATATGTGATGTTTCTGAGTTTTAGTCTTATAAAACGAGAAGAGGAGTAGTAGGAAGATTTAGTGATTACTTGTTTCTAAAGATTCTTCAATAATTAACAAGCAATAATTTCCAGACATATAAATGTAAAGATGAACAGGATGAATAATTGAGATATTTGCAATACAAATCATGATTCAACTTACATAACGTTCCAGAATTACAATGCTGAAGTAATACAACTACGTGGGTTTAAACGAGATAAACTAAGAAAACTACGCTAATTCTACTCCTAAAAAGCAAAGAAAAGTGGTCAAGAAATTGATACCCAGCAGATGCGTGCACGAAAGCCATATGCGCAGGCAGAGAGTGCTTACAGAAATGTGAGTATGAAATTTCCGACCTCTTGAAAGTACATATTTCTTCGTGTTTATAGAGTCAAATGAAGGTGGTTAATTTTAGTGCATGTGCGTCATGGAAAGGTAACCGCCATCCACTATGCCCAATAGGTGGTTTTAGAATGTAACCTCTCGTAACCGCTCGTTCCACTCTTTTTCTTTTCACTTCGATCCATTTTCCGTTAACCGTTCTGAGATAACTACTCACTACTTGGAAACCTTCAGTAATTTCCATCTTTCGAGCACTTCTCGGTTTGATTCGACTCATTTTTTCGACTGTATTTTGAATACGGACAGCTTGAGCTTTTGATACTTCCTGAAACTCCTGAATGTGCTTTTCGAGTTACCTGATCTTCGAGTGATCCTAACAATATGTCAATCAAAATAATTTATTTTAATCAGTCTTGGTACTAAATTTCAAGCCTCAAACACATACGTGGGAAGAGGTTCATGTATGTGACCGATCAAATAAAACTTGTGTAAGTCAACATTAAATTTGGAAGAGTGTACAATTTCAACAATCGATTATAATCGAATTAAATTTTTGTTTTTGAGTAAATTTGTTAAAAAAAACAATTTATAGATATTTAATTTTATTTGGATATAAAAAACCAACTTTTATTCAGAAAATCATCAGCTTTAGAATATAAAATATTAAAAATTAATTATAAGTCTCAAATGTTCATGTTCATGAAAAAATAAACTTAATTATAAAAAAAAAATTACCAACAAATAAAAGAGATATATTGAATTATTGGTAGAACAAGTACCAAAATCTCCTATATACAAACAAATTCATGTAAGGTGCACCAGCTGATTCATACATAAATTGGTTACTTTCTATTTATATTTCCATATATTATAAACAAGAGATAACCAACCAATCACCAACTCATCTACACTAACACCGGTAACTTATACATGTTTATCTCCAAAACAGAAGTCAAAATGTTGTATCAAGAAAAAAAAATGATGAATTTCAGATACTTTTTCAAATATTTTTTTTTATTAAGATATACGTATTGAAAATTAAATTTAAATTCTTATACTTTTAATTATATCAACTCCTTTCCATTATTCATCAGACTAATTATAGTGATGTCAAATAACTAATTTATTTATAAATAATTTTCTTCATAAAAATAGGTAAAAGTTGGAATAATCATCTTTTCCAAAGGTACACATACTTCATAGGGATTAAAACTTACACTACTAGAATTTCTCTTACTATATGCGATTTTTCCTATGAATTTTTTATAAAAATTCGCAGGAAATATTATTCCGGCAAATTTTCTTGCGAAATTTTATCTGCAGGTGTTTACGGTGGAATTTGTTTTATGGATTCTTTTTACTTGGACTAGCACGAAAAACGTTTCAATTTAGATATGTGATGTTTCTGAGTTTGATATTCTTATAAAACGAGAAGAGGAGTAGTAGGAAGATTTAGTAATTACTTGTTTCTAAAGATTCTTCAATAATTAACAAGCAATAATTTTCATACACATAAATGCTAAGATGAACAGAATGAATAATTGAGATACTTGCAATACAAATCATGGTTCAACTTGCATAATGTTCCAGAGTTACAATATCAAAATGATATAACTACGTGATTAACATAAATAACTAAGAGAACTATGCTAAAACTACTCCTAAAAAGAGAAAAGAAATGTGGCCGAGAAGAAATCATACCCAAAAACAATTCCATGCACGAAAGCCATATGCGCAGGCAGAGAGTGCTTCAGAGTATAGTCTTAGTATGAGTTTTCCGACCTTCGTAAAGGAGTATGCCTTTCCTATTTATAGAAATCCTCAAGAGCAGTTATTTCTGTGTACATGTATTATGGACACATAACTGTTGTCCACTAAGCCCATGACGTGGGTTAAAATAAAACCTCTCGTAACCGTTTGCCCCACATGTTTTTTACCTCTTCGATCCATGTTTTATTAACTGCTTTGAGATAACTACTCAAACTACTTTAAGAAACCTCCAGTAACCTCCTTCATCTATTTTTCGAGCACTTCTCTGTTCGATTCGATTAATGTTTTTCGACCCATCTCGCACGTGAACAAATAAGGCTTCTGATATGATCCTGGTAAGTGTTCGACCTTTATCTTCCTTTCGAGTAGTTTCATAGATATAGCTTTCGAGTAGCTTTCGAATTCTGGGTTTCGAGTAGCTCTAACAGCAGGTAATACTTTCGTGGATAATATTTTTTTGCG